ATATTATGTTCCCTCCTGTTCAGACTCTAGGTCTCGCAACGGTTAGAGCGAGTCCATTCACTTGTGTAAAACAGGGCAGTGATCGCCAGGCACTGCGTTTGGTGTATTGTCGAGAGTGTCGCATAGTTGAGAGAACTCCCATAACCCAGTGTCACTATCCAGATCTCTTCCACATCAAACATATAACCTAACGGCAATTTATCTATTGTCAGCATTGTCCCCAGCAATAAATGACGTCTGCGCTTTAATTACCAAAGCCCTGTCCTGTGCCCTCTGCGGTAGTACTGGGAACATGTCTGACAAATGAAAGTTGTGCTTGAAAAATCAATTGGAGAGCGATGCCAGCTGCTGCTTAGACGAAGCAACGCGAAGAATGATTTGCATATTTTAATTTTGAAGAGAGGAAACTCTATTATCACTGTACATGCAGTCATATCTTCGTTGCAGGAAACGACAGAAAACTTAAATGTTCACTTGGATTAAATTCCCCTTCGATTTAAAACACTCAATCTAATACCAGGCACGGTGGGACGCTCCGGAGTCGCGTTACGCTCTGGACAGATACAAGAACCTTTCTAGAACAGGGGAGATTAAGGACAGAGTTAATGTGTTCAAAATGATATTGGAGTAAGCCAGCAGAAACAGTTTGTTCTGGCAGAAGGATCAGCAGGCAGAGGACACGGATTCAAGTTGGTTGGCAAAACAAAAACCAGAGAGAATTGCCATTTAAGCAGCAAGTGATTAGAATGGCGAACGCAGTGCCTTAAAGAGTCGCTGGCAGTAGAATCTGCGGCAACTTTCCAAAGGGAGCAGGGGAATCAAGTTGGAGAGGAAAGTGGAGGGTGCGCTAATTTAGTAGTCTTTCGGAGAGGCGGTATAGGCTTGATGGGGCGAATAGTGTCCTCCTCCTCTAACTGGATGATTTGGTGCCTCAGGGTTGCTCAGGTCTAATAGGAGTTCAGCAAGAAGTTTTAGGCGTGGTCTCTCAAGCGGTTAACGTGGGATAGTTAAAGGTTGACCGTTGCCTTGACAGAGCACTTGCGCGCTGTTTATATGGGAACCAGTTGAGGCGGGTTGTCACCAGCTCCTCTCTTTCTACAACGCCAAAGAATATCGGAGAGGACCTCGGGTGCAATTGAAGTGGGCCCGCTTACGCATCCTGTCTCGGTATCTGGGCTACACTGACTTGGGTGCAGGGGACCCACCTCTGAGAATCCGGGCTAGAGATAATTCTTAACCAGACATTTCCTTCAGATCGGGGCTAAAAGATAGCTCCAGGTTTTCAACTTTATTTCAAGTATGCATTAAAAAAAAGATGTTCACGTAGAACGCCTGAAAAAAAAAGCATTGAGATGGATCTGAAATGAACACGATTCGAGGTAGATCGTTTTTAATGAATGATTGCCGGTGGTGGTTGGGGTGGGGGTGAGTGGTGAGGGTTTTGTGAGCTGGAACTTGTTAGCAAACCCAATAACAATAAAGAATCGATGAAATACATGACTGGTTTGAGATCATTCGGTTCAGGGCCGGTTCTGATAGAAAGGCACCGGAGTGAACGGTTTGATTGCTGCATTAAAGAAAGCTTTGGCATTTGGTATCGATCACGGAGAAAGAGAAAGCCTTGTTCCCGGAATAGTGTAGATTGCTTCTTAACACAGCAGCGATAAGCACACGCTAGCTGAATGCGCAGGAGCACTGCAATCCCATGATTAAACCCCTTGACTTAAATAACATTCGGAAATTACACTATTCAACAACGCAAGTAGGTAACATATGTGTTTGTGCGTTTGTGGGCGCCTCCACATCAGTACAACGGGTTGCTTCTGCTATTAAAACACAGCCTGGCGGTGTTTCCGGTGTGGTGGGAGCTGTCCATCAGTCTGGTGCTGAAACCAAACTCTCACCCGGGAGATGTCGGATGCACCTCATTGGAAATACGTCGCGGCTAACAGCCCTGAAGGAGGCATTAGTCCCTCCCTCGTTACTCGGACCTGTCTCATTTATGCAACTCGGAGTACCAGCAGTCGTTGCAAGTGTCAGCTCTGACCTGTGTTTCGCTTGTAACGTAACAAGGTCTCGAGATGCTTTCATATTATTGCCAAGCATTTGGCCGACGGTCGTTTCATTAATATGCAATAACCCTAATTGGTATATGTTATGAACAGAGTCATTATAATTGTTATTGTTAACTCTGATAATCATTCTCATTAAGTTAATTGTAATGTTGATGTGCTCGAGGCACAATCTACTGTACCATTACTGATCTCTGCCCCCTTCAAAAATAAGGTAGATTTAGATGACGGATCTAAACAAAAGTCCCTTGGTAGGGTAGGACTCGAATAGTGCTGAAAATATTGCTGACATGTTGTCAACGCTTTTGGAGCTGCACTAACAGGACAAATGCAAGACTGCCAAATTTTAATCCATTACTATATTGTATGCTACGAGACAAAAGGGATGGCAAATCGACTGACATTAGCTGAGGCATTGCTATGAAGTGAACAATTGGGAAATATAGTTGTCCCAAGCTACTGGGTCATTCAAAAAAGGTACAAATTTTGAACACATTTATTTCATTAGCACAGAATAGGTCCCAGCCCATTGAATGTACAATGCCTCCAGGGACTGTAAGTGAATCACATTACCAGCTCGGCTGATTGTCTTAAGTGAGTTATTAGTATTGCGAAGAATACACCCAAGATCATTCAGCAAGTGCTGCCCCTATTATGGGATCAGATTTAATGGTTGATATTTTCCTTTGAGTTTTGTAACCCTGTACTTATCATGAAGAATTGACGAAATGTTCTGTTTGTTTGATTGATCAGTCAATCACTACGACATTTAGCCTATATTGCTGGTATCACATGGACACTGCAAATCCTCCACGAGCTTGCTCAGTTCTGAGGAAGGCATTACTACTTTCTGGATTGATGCCAAAACCCTGTACCACGGCTGTAGCCATGGTCCAGGAGCAGTGTGATTATGTTTGTGATATTGTCCCGATCCTGGTGCCTTTTGACGTCAAAAAATAACGTGGAAAACATGTCTCCCTTCAAATCGAAATAACTTGCACACACGTAGCAAATGTACTTACTCAGGCAACATTGACATTGAGCTTTTCTGTGGGGACCTCTTACATCCAGTCCGCCCCTCCACGGATCCCTTCCTACACCAGCACGCTCCTCTAAAACGTTGCTGTTTTCAACCCCATTGGTCTGAGAGACGATAGAAGCAAAAAGAATCACAGCGAATGGTAGAAGTATAACTGAAAATGTAACTCTGACAAAAGGATTCTTCCCCCGAAAAGTAAGTTTGCTGTGCGTCCGTTTGTGAAGGACGGTGTCAGGTACCGACAGGGAAACGCTGTTTTCCCCGCACGGCAACAGCGAGCAGCCAGAGTCGAGCAATCATAACATTTACGATTGCTTTATGGAGAAAGCATACGTGTCACCAAGTAACAATTTGGCAAGATTTTTTTGTTATTGCGTATAAATTGGCCAGACTATGAATATGCATAAAATTTCATTTCCTAATTTATTTTACAGTCTGTATAATACTCCAGTTCCACGCTTACTACTTTGCAGTATGTGTAACTGGGGTCAGTGGTAGCAGCCTCCCTTCTGAATCGTTTTATTCTGGGTTTAAGCCTCGCTCCGAATACAACAGCCCATCATCTAAAACTGACCATTCACAATAGGATTAAGAGTGCAGCACTCGGCACCGTCTTTTGGATCCATGCGAGGCCTGTTTCCCCTTATTTAAATGTGACAAGCATTAACTCGAAGAATAATTGAGTTATCTTATTAACCCAACCAATACTTATCCCTCCCATAAATAACACCTCTTATGGGATAATAAAAGCTAAATACAGCAGATACTGGAGGTTGGGAACAAAAACAGAAATTGCTGGAAAAACTCATCGGGCCTGGCAGCAACAGTGGAGAGAGGAAACAGTCGCACTTCGAACAGAAAGCTGAGCTATATTGCGCAGGAACTAACTACTACATTCCTTAGTCAATACAATGTGGAGCTGAAGGAACATAGCAGGTCAGGCAGCATCAGAGGAGCAGGAAAATCGATGTTTCAGGTCGGGACCCTGCATCAAGACTACATTCCTTAGAGCGCTTTGGAGAGTTCCTAGGTCCTGAGGCGTATTGTATACAGTAAATTCAAAACCTACTTTAAAAAAATAAACCAAAGATCTGCGGATGCAGAAATAAAAATAAAAATTGCTGGGAAAACTCAGCAGGTCTGGCAACATCTGTGGAGAGAAAGTGAAGTTAACGCTTCGGGTCCAGTGACTCTTCTTCAGGACTATGAATAAATGTCTTTTTTTCAATGATACCAATGGTCTGATAGTAGCTGGAAACCAAGTGTAAGTCTTACCAAACCAAAATAACACTGCACTATGAGCAGGCTTCCCACTTTCCTACCGGGGGATACTCACTGCCTCCTGTTGTGGACGGATTCCATTGCAAGATTTAGGAGTCTAGATAGATTTGGTTTCTTTTATAGTTGATCTATCTCACAATTCTTCTCAACTCCAAAGCTGGTCAGCCAGCTGGCGCCTATGACCAATCTAGGTTTTGGTGCATTGATGAGGAAGGTTATCTGAACCTAGAGAGGATAATTTCATAACCAGATCCGCACCCTTTCAGGTCCACTCAAACTAGCAACTTTGACCATCCTTGACTATCAAATGCCACCATTGAATTGTCGAGGATTGAACGAGTGGCTTGTTGCATCCCAGAGTTATGTGTTAGTAATGGAGGTCTATCTTAGGAGGGGCTGCAATCTTCAGAAGTTTGTACTTGCGAACATTGCCTCTGAAGTTCTCTCAAAAAAAACCCCAGCTGGTGTGGATACTTCCGCGCGGTGATGAGGCGCCCCCGCGCTCAGCACCGCTCTGTTCTGAACGTCTCCTCCGCCCTGTGCTGAAGTACCGCAGAGGCAGCGGCTTCGAGAGATCAGCTTGGCTTCAGATCGCCTGAGCGATCGAGCTGACTGAGCGGAGATTTCCTCAGGATCCGAGCGAGACCGGACTTCCAACACACAACCCGACTGATGTGAGAAACACAGCGGTGCAGACAAGATGGGGATATTTGGAGTGACAGTGGGAGCTTTGCATTACCTGGGGCTCTATGTGCAACTCTGTGCGTGTTCACAAGGTGAGAATCAGCAGTTGGCTATTCCGATAGAGCAGGTTCAATGCAAGCAACCGCGAAGGGTACCTTTGCACTTAGAATTAGCAGGCGGCGATATCGGTCTTTCGTGGTGTTCATCTGTCCTCGACATGTAATGCAAATTGAAGTTTTGTCTGATAAATTTGTTCATCATGAATTGAAGCAGGATTTATGATAACAATTGAAGAATATTCCTGTATAGCACGATTTATTTATTTATTCATTGAAAGGAAGCTATGTCTTCAGATTACAAGGTAGATGAAAGTCTGGATTGAGGCTACATTCCACAATTGGCATTATCTTATAATTGCTGTCTTCCATCAGACAGGAAACTGAGTAATAAAATCAAATGTTGGATTTTATTCAGGATTAAAACTTCCTGCTTCCTTTAGAATTTTAGCACAGGCTGTGGTAAGAATGCAAACTGTGGAATATGGATAATTTATGAACACCATTCTTAGCATCCTGATATGTGTGTGTGTGCTGCCTCTATCCCACCCTGTAGTTCTGTTTTACAAGGTATCTTGTGTATTTTGAAAGATGATTAACCCTTTTCAAACCAGTGAAGCATTTGGTACAATGTGTGAATAATACTACTTTCTGTAGTTTACAGTAAATAACAAACGGACTCACTACTTGTTTGGTGTTTTGCCTTTGTAATAATTAAAGTTTAGGAATATTAATTCAGCCAACACAGAAAACCATAATGTATCATTTTCTTGGAACAGAAGAACACTATAAGTGGTTTGTATATTATAGGTGTAATTGCATTCCTTCCAGTCAGAACTGATATAATCAGAAAGTATTGGTTTGCTCATAACAGTATTTTCTTGAGATTGTTGTATTCAGTGTACCAACTTTGTTGCTTTTTGTAAAATAAAAAGTTTGTCTGAGTTGTCTAAGCTTTAACAGACTTTAGATCTGTATTTTCCTTTCTACTTGCATCACTGAATCTTTATTTTAAAGAACTGTGGCTATGTACTAGATCTTTCAGTTTGAATGATGAATTCTGAAGGCATTAACATCATCAATTGTACAACGCAGTGTTGTGATATTGTTCAGTTACAAATTGCTAGGATGACTAAACATTAAAGATCAGAACTAACAGAAACAAGTTTGTAACATCCACAGATCCCAAATAAATGTAGTTCAGTTAGTTCAACACATAACATTGGAAGTTTAATATAACAGATATGAAGATCTATTCACAACACTACCGCAGCATATAATCATAGCTGTACTAAGGAAGAAGGCTCTTAAGGGGAAAATAGCCTTGCAATGTTGGAATTGTTTCAGCTGAATGCGGTGACTCATAACCAACAGAATTCAGACTAGTACTGGTATTTGTTTTGTATGATTTTTGTGGGTTATTACTGACAATAAAATCTGTTTTTGTTAGATAAGCTTTCTAAAGTAATGGAACCAGTACAGAGCTCTTCAGATTACTGCTAGGAACTTTTATGTTTATGGAGTGACAATACAACAAAGAAACATCTGTTCAAAACTGTTAGAATTAGCACAAAGTAAAGTAGTTTCCTTAGGAAATAACACATTAAACCAAAAACTGGAACAATCAACTGGAGCATGGAAGTTCACTATCTACACTTAAGAGCTACATTTAAGTGTTATAATGACACTAATCTGTGCGATTGTATGAAAACATTTAAATAAATTATAATGATTAAGATTGAAGCATGCATTTGAAGTGAATGGTGAAGTCAAAGTAAAAACAAGTCAAGCTTGTGTGCTAAGAATAAGTTAACCATGTTAATTTAGATCGATAAATAATTAAAAGCTTTTGGAGTGACAATGACATTTCAAAGCTCCATCAAAAATATAATAAGCTTCCTTTCCTTACTTCTCATGCAATCAATGGCAATATTGTGATTAAAGAAACATCACATTTCGCAATAGTCCTGACTACGTCTAGATCTGGGATGGCAGATATATTCTTAACTCAGACAGATTTCCTTCAGTCAAAGAAGATGTCAATTGTGAAACTGCATCCTCCCCTGCTCCCACATCTGCTACCCAAACCTATGCTTTTTTACAAATCTTAACCAGTGTTCTGAAGGTTACAAGAGTAGTTTTGGTTTTTGGAACTATGTCTAGTATGCATCAAACTCAAATTATTGGAATTGACTTCACTGAAGAGATTCAAACTATTTTTTCACAAAGCTATATTAAATATAAATATCATTCATTTTGGACTCCCTATTGCCAAAAGCAAATAGCTGATGTTCCAAATTGTGATGCCTGTTAACAAAGCATTTTAATGGTTGAAACATAATATTTTTCCTAACATTTGATCATACATAACATTGGCCAGAGGTAAAGACCTACTGCTTCATCCTGCAGCATAGTTGTATTATGCATTAAAATAGGATACGGCCAATCCATTCACAGCCATGTGTTCTACTGGGAGAAGTGCAGAGCCAGATAATAACATATCTTGTTGAATTTTGATTTTCACCAATTTAGACAAATTACTTTACACTACTTGCAAAGTGAATATAGCATAATTGAAACCCTTCTCTTTTGCCTTTTTTCCCTGCACAGCATATGGTTTTAAGGAACATGAATCAGGGTAGGCTGATCCAACTCACAACAGTGAGAAGGTCCAGAGCATCCTTTTAGTTTGAACTATAGACCTTACTGGTAAGGGAAGTTCCACACTAGTTATTAGACTTGGCCAGAGAGTACTTCTTGTTACTTGTTTTTCACACTGGTCAAATATTATTTTCACAGAGTTCACATAAATGTCATTCATTACTTTGATTGCCCTAAAATATATTTTGAAATGGAAAGCTGTGTGTATTCCAGAGTACTTCTTATATGCGGAGAAGGAAGCTTAGTATTAAAATAATATATTAATTTTGAAAGTTGTGATTTAAGCTATATCATTAAATTGTAATATACAATTGAAATCGCCTACATAGCCATCTCATTTCTGATTTGCTTCTCTTTTAAATTATTTTTGGTTTAGAAGGGAGACAGGTTACAGTGTTTAATGGCTAAGTGAGTATGTGTCTTGCTGATAAAGGAAGAACAAATGTCCAGGCATAGATAGAACAAACCTCAGAGAAATCCAAATTAGAAAGAAAAAATTTCAACTCTTTGTATTGTAGAGAAAGCTACGTCATTGCAAAATATTTTATTATTTGTGACAATGGAAGAAACAAAGGACTGGCTTAAGCGCCTCTACTTCCCTGGCTCAATGTAGTTTTGTAAATAAAAACAGAAATTGCTGGAGAATCTCAGCATGTCTGGCAGCATTTGTCAAGAAATTCTGAAGAAAGGTCACTGGACTCTACATGTTAACTCTGCTTCTTCTCTCCACAGATGCTGCCAAACCTGCTGAATTTCTCCAGCCACTTCTGTTGTGTTCCAGCGTCCACAGTTCTTTGTTTTATTGATGTTTTATAAAGCTTTGTGGTTTAAAACAATGTTGTTTCATTCTCCCCAGATGAATCAGCTACCATTCCAAAGGTTTGCATAAATATTATTGCAGAAAAAAGAAAAATTGCTTAATGTCATATTTGAACAGTGTTGCTTTCCATGTTTGATCATTTTTTTAACCTTCACCACCACCCATCTAAATTGAAATAATTGCAAGTTTAATGAAAAATAATTCAATGGTGTTGCTTTTCTCTTTAAAAAAAAATTTGCATTAAACTAATAAGACTAGTAGTGGTGTTAGAGATTTTTCTTGAAAATATTTAAGCCGGATTTATAAAAATATTTTAATCAGCAGAATACTGTAAAGCTCTGTTGGTCTATGGTAAGATGTATTTTTTGCTATTTGTAAATGATTTATACCGGAAAAAATTGTTTGGTATAGAAGGCATGAAGTAATGGATCTTTTCAGTACACAAACTTCAATTACTCAAACTATGAAATATTACTTGGACTGAAATATTTAATTTGACAGCCTTTAATGTAATGTTTATCAATAATACAGCTAATCTTAAACTAGAATATATCACTGAACTGCCCACATGCCATGTGATAAATAGAACTGAAACAGATCAGCATATCTACAGCACAGGAATGTGGAGTCATAAGTCATAAAACTACAACAGGTGGCATTACAGTTGTACCTTTAATGCAATAAAACTTTCTAAAGTGGTTCACAGAAACTGAGCAACAATAAAGTTAGGGTTGGTGACCCAGATCGTTATATATAAGGAAACTGTTAGAAAATAGAAAAGCCAACAAAAAAGAGGTTTAAAGAGAAGTATTGTAAAATGTAGCACCAAGATTGCTGAATCTTCTGGCTGAGGTGCTAAGTAGTGTATTATTTGTGGAACGGTACTACTATATGTCTTTAAAAGAAATAAATAGCATGGTGAAAGATCTGAAATACTGTCATTATAGTTATAAAGTAGAATTCAGGCAACGATTGCATTGTGATGAATGAACAAAACTAAGAAATCATGGAATCCTATTTCAAATTAGCATGCATTTCTACTATTATCATTTAAAATTTCTATTGTCACATAACAGAGAAAGTGACTATGAGATTTCTTAGATATTTGAAATACTGTTCATGAAGATTTATACCAATAGAGAAAATGGCCTTTTGTTCTACAATGATTATCAACTGTAAAAGAAATCTTTGTTAATATTGATTTGGAATCCATTTTGGCATGGAAAAGATTGCACACCATGTTAATTTAGTTTTGTTTAGTCAAAATCAGTTCTGTTTACTGTGGATGCTTCACAGATTTATATAAAAAAAAGCATATTATGTGATGAGTAGCTATCCCATGTATTCAAATGTCAATCCTTTTTATTTACAATTTTCTGCAACTATTTGATGGAAGTTCTGTTTAAACAGATTTCAAAGATCCACCTTGAAACGCAGAAAGAAAGAAGTGGGAAAGTTATTATTCCGTTTTATCCATACAGACTATATATCCTGTATGTTTTTCATCCAAATATTGACTTTGTCCAATTAATTCAAATAGTTTATTCACGTACAT